CAGAATTTCAAACTAATGAAAAATAGTGGATTAATCAATAAATACTGCTGAAACAAGTGGCTAACCATCTGGAAAATGTGAAATCTTTGATTCACACAATTTTAAAAAGTAAACCCAGGCAGATTTAAGTTCTATACCTAAAACAAGCAAACAAAAAGATTTCAATAATTTTTGAATTTCTGAACAAAAAAAAGATTTTCAATAATTTCAAAAAACTATAAAAGGAGAAGCTGATGTATGCAATTGTGTAAATATTTTAAATTTACATGCAATGATAATAAACCATAGTTAAAACACCATAATTATCTAGAAAGGGTATTTTTAATATAGGTAATTTTTAAAAAGTTGTTATCCAGAATACAACTGATTCATACAACAAATAAGGCAACTAGTCCAAAGAAAAAGAAGCAAAGGACAGGGGCGCCTGGCTGGCTCAGTCAGTGGAGCATCCAACTTCGGCTCAGGTCATGATCTCACAGCTTGTGAGTTCAAGCCTCGCATCGGGCTCTGTGCTGAGAGCTCAGAGCCTGGAGTCTGCTTCGGATTCTGTGTCTCCCTCTCTCTCTCTACTCCTAACCAACTCACATTCTGTCTCTCTCTCAAAAATAAACAGACACTTAAAAAAAAAAAATTTAAAAAAAAAGAGGCAAAGGACATGAATGGACAATTCACAAAAGAAAAAAGTGTATATTTATAATAAAAGTGAAAAGCTGCTCAAATTCAAATGTAATCAGGCAATGCAAAACAAAACAATGAGGAATTGCTTTGGCCACTCAGAAAGCTTAAAAAATATACTTAGTTTACTCTCATATACTGTTGGTGGGAGACTGATACAGACTTTTTTTTAGTAAAGTTTGGCTGAACCTATTAAAATCCAGTCATTTGATTTCTAGGCTTCCATCCTAAAATATATTTGCACATGCCTACAAAGAGGTTTGTATAAATTAAATGTCTTCAATTTTCCCATGTTACTAATCCCATGTTCCCATGTTGCAATCTAAATGTCCATCAATAGGGATACTGCAGAATAAATTATGGTATAATCACTGTAAAATACAAAGCAACAGTTAAAATGAACGAGGTATAGCTTATATACTAACATGGAAAGATCTCCGAGATACACTGAATGGGAAAAGAATTTTCAAAATAATACATACTGTAGACAGGAATTTATAATCAACTATTTTTACAGATTTTATTCATATATATATTTTATAGGTCCAAAAGGACATGCAACAATCTCATAATAGTGATGATATCTGAGCAAAGAGTAAGCATGGGGGACGTGGGGGCAGTACAATGGGAAATTTTTGCTTCATCTCTAATGTTTGAATTCGTTTAAAACAAAGTATCCATTACTTACAAGAGAACAAAAACAAGTTTTTAATGGCACAATTAAAACCCTAGACCAGTGAGGGGCGCCTGGGTGGCGCAGTCGGTTAAGCGTCAGACTTCAGCCAGGTCACGATCTCCCAGTCCGTGAGTTCGAGCCCCGCATCAGGCTCTGGGCTGATGGCTCGGAGCCTGGAGCCTGTTTCGGATTCTGTGTCTCCCTCTCTCTCTGCCCCTCCCCCATTCATGCTCTGTCTCTCTCTGTCCCAAAAATAAATAAAAAAACGTTGAAAAAAAAAAAAAAAAAAAAAAAAAAAAAAAAAAAAAAAACCCTAGACCAGTGAAGTACTTGCCTAATTAGTAAACGCTCTACAGAAATTATAGCAGCATTAAATTAGGATTTCTCCATTCATTCAACAAATGCTGAGCACCTAATATATGCTAGACGCGGTTCTAGGTTCAAGTGAACAAAACAAATTTGCCTGCCGAGATTCCAGAGAAAGGAAACAAACAGTAAAGATAAAAAGTTACATATATGTTAGAAGATTGTATAGTAAGGAGAAAATACAAGACAGCTAAGGGAGAGATAAATTACAAGGATATAACTTTAATAGGTGTTCAGGGGAGGCTGCTGACAATCATGTTTCCTGGGCTGAGCCTAAAACCTTGGGGAAATGAAGACCACTTGGTCCCTCTTCAGCTGTCTTCTCTCAAATCTTGTTCCACAGTGAGGAGTCACACTCTTTCCTGGATTTGTTTGTGGTATGGTTTCGTTTATCTTTCCTAGAACCGCCTGCAGCACCAAAAGGATGACCCAGAGTGGTTCTTAGTGTGGTCGATCCCTGGATCAGCACATCAACCTCACCTGGGAACTTGTTGGAACTTCAACTTCTGCGGGGTCCCACACCAGCCCTAAAGAAGGAACTCTGGGGGGTTGGGCCCAGCAATGTGTGTTTTAAAAACCCCTTGATGTCTCTGATTCACATTAGTTTGAGAAAAATTAAATTTCAGGATCTACTCCTGCTCCTCAAATGTCCCATCTTGGCCATTAACTGATTTAACACTTCACATTCCTAATTTTGAAATTGAGCCTGGCCATAGTACGGGAATTGAGGTTATCTGCGGGAGTACAAATAAAATCAAGCATCTCCCTTTTTTCGCCTTTCCCAGGATTCTCTCATCCAGCCATTAAATCAATCATCGTTGGTCATCAACCAGCCTATCACAGATAACACAAAATCTGTATCTTTTCCTCAAGAAATTCCATATCCTATACATCTAACTCTTAAAGAAAGGACCATAAATCATAGTTTTACCAGGTACAACCATTTCATATCATAACTAAGGTCAGCTGCTCCAAAACAGCTCACCAAGATTAAAAATAGATTTCTAATTCATTTTATTTTTACAGCTTTGAAATGTAGTATTACCCAGGCCTCAAGGAATACTATTGCACACACACAAAAAACCCAGAAATATTAAACTACGCTATTTCAAATACTTACAGCTTATCATGAAGCAGTTCTCCCAACTTTAATTCTAAAAGAAACAAACAGAAAAATCCTTTGAATAACACCATCTTTATATTTAAATTTTAATTCTAAGAAAAAAAAAAGAAACAAAACAGTTTTGTTTGAAAATGGGCTTTCATTACTTTAAACTTCATTTTCTAAGAAATTATTTCTACTCCATTACTAACATAATGCCTTCTACACGATGAATATTTAATCCCTATAAATTGAACTTTTAATAATTAGCAAGCAACCCACCACAGGCCACAAAAATCCAATCAGAATTACCAACCTCATTTTAAAATATCACTAGTAAATTTCCCCCAACTATGCTTTTTCACAGAACTGACTGCTGTTTTTTAACTTTCTTAAACCACTTTTTTTTTTTTAACGTTTATTTATTTTTGAGACAGAGAGAGACAGAACATGAACGGGGGAGGGTCAGAGAGAGGGACACACAGAATCTGAAACAGGCTCCAGGCTCTGAGCTGTCAGCACAGAGCCCGACACAGGGCTTGAACTCACGGACCGTGAGATCATGACCTGAGCCGAAGCCGGCCGCTTAACTGACTGAGCCACCCAGGTGCCCCTACCACTTTTAAGTTGTTTCTTAAATCGCTTGGGGTCATAATCTAACCTTTTTTTGTCCCAGGAACAGTGTCAAAGCTACTTTTTAAAGTTTCATTTTATTTAGGGGCACTTCAGTCGGTTGAGCGTCTGACTTCAGCTCACGTCATGATCTCACGTTCGTTAATTAAGCCCCACATCGGGCTCATGCTGTCAGCCTGTCAGTGCAGAGCCTGCTTCAGATCCTCTGTCCCTCTCTCTTTGTCCCTTCCCTGCTTGTGCTCTCCCCAAAATAAATATAAATATAAAGAAAAAAGAAAAAAAGGAAATCCCATTTTATTTAAATGTAGAAAACACCTGAGTAAACAGCTAATCAAAACAGTATTCATCCTCTATAAAGCAGTTCTCAACTTTGGCTTCATGTTGGTATCAACTCTGGAGCCTGTGAAAATCCCAACATCCAAGCAGCACCCTAAACCAATTAAATTCTAGGGGTGGCCCCTCTGCAATGGTTTCAAACCACTACAGGTAAAATCCCAATGTGCAGGAAAGGGGAGAACTACTACTGTAACATTTTAAGTAACTTAAATATTGATGGTCAAATCCGGTAAAAGATGCAAAGCCCCAGTTTTCCGAACTGTACCCCTCCTACTGATCTTAAGTTAAAGAACATTCATTTTTAACAATTCCAGGTAACAAAACAGATAAATCAATGAGAAGCATATCAAAAACCACAATATAGTATGACAGAACATAACAGCAGTTCTCACAGATGGTCTGGGAACGCAGGTGTCTGTAACATTAAAATTACTTTCACAGTAATATTAAAACATTTTCTTTTTCATTGTATTGACATCTGCACTGATAATACAAGAGCAACAGCATAAAGGGAAAAATAAAAAAGCAACGAGGGCTACACTGCTTTAGCTTCACCACAAATTAAGACAGTGGCCCCCAAGCTAAATAGTGTATTTTTTTACCTCCAAGCACTTGCAGTTAAAAAGACAACATTTTTAAATGTCACTTAAGTCCTTGATGAAGCAGTAAAATCACTAATCTCAAGGCTGGGACCAGGGTGCAGCAAGTGAAGCATTTCCTGTGAGAAATTTAAGCATGAACTCACTTTCAGGTAGTAAGTTGTTTTTGTTTTTAAGTTTACTTATTTTGAGACGGACAGAGGGAGAGCATGAACAGGAGACGGGCAGGGAGAGAGAGAATCCCAAGCAAGCTCCACATTGTCAACACAGAGCCGGATATGGGGCTCAAACTCACAAACCATGAGATGAAATCAAGAGATGGACTGACTGAACCACCCAGGTGCCCCTCAGGTAGTGAATTCTTAAGTTTTCCACCCTAGGTGCCTCACTTCATTCTAGTGCTGGTCCTGATTTACCTGATTAAGTCTCAATCTTTGAGTACATCTTTTAAATATTCTATTTGACAAAATAGGAAATATAAACAAACACGTCTGCTGCATATCAAAGTAAGCTGTTATTGTAAGGAAAAGCACTTGCACAATTACAATGGAACACCATTTTTACTTGAAAGAACAAATGACAAACTATACTTATTCAGACTTAAGAATATGCCATTTTCTTGGAAAGGAGTTTGTTGCTTTAAGAAAAACTGAAATTTTGTGTTGCCAATGATAAAATTCGAGCTTGTAAGCAAAACTTAGAATCTGGAGAAACGTATCTACCACTGTGAACCTGATAGCTTCCCAATATTAAAAAAGACTTTTCTGATAATAGTGGTAATATTAACAAATGTGCTTTTCAGTATTATATATCAGCATTTAGAAGATATGCTTAAGTCAATGAACCAATATTTTCCAAATGGAGACACACGTTCCAGAATTAAGCATTCCAAGTTCAAGGCACACCAATGGATTTTAATGTAACAGAGAGAATGGAAAGTCCACTGATAACAGATCTTCAGATTCCATATCACAACTCATCTTTAAGAAACTACCACCTGTCAAGTTTTGTTGTACTGTAATATCAAAGAAGTATATCCACAATTATCTGAAAAGGTTCCTGTTTTTCAACTATATATCTGGTGAGGCCAGATTTACCTCATATACTTCCAACAAATACAGACAGATTAGCAATTCAGATGCCCTCTATTACGCTGACATTAAAGAGATTTTCAAAAATATAAAACAACTCTAGTCTTGGAAGTTATTCTGTTTTGAAAAATAATTTATTTTTCATCAAAAGACATATTAACATGGAATGGGTTTATAATTGTTTTTAAATCAATTGGGAGGTATTTTTAAAATTTGTTTTAAGTTTTAATGAACATCTATATCCATATCCATATGGAAACACACAATTTTTGAGTGTAAAGATATAATTTTTAAAAGTATAATGGGGTCCCAAAATCAAAAAATTTGAGAACTGCTGTAATAATTTATCAAATACTTATGGTAGATTTAGGTACCAAATAGCTTCACCAAACTTAAAAAGAAAAACACTCCACAGACCTTGAACCAAGTCACTCTGTGCCTTGGTTTCCTTATCTGTAAAATGAACTGCTGAACTAGCTGACTCTCAGTATGGTCCCTTAGAACACCAGGAATCAGATCACAGTAAACTATAGGTAGGAAGCTTGAAAATTTGCTCAACTAAGCAGAGTGCAAGCACTTTTACTGCATGATCAACACCTGGACACGGAATCATGCTCTTCTACAGCACTACAGACCTGAGTAGTCTGGGTCTTATCCAACTATGCAGCAGTTCTGAAAAGACTTAGCGAGAAGGATAATGTTTTACATTTATCATTAGCAGTCAGAGCAATGACATCATAACATATCATGTAGTCTCTGGACTACTAATAAGAGAATGAGAGTCAAAAAGGCAAGTTAACATCTTAGTACTACTACAGAAATTGTTTTGATCTTGCATGCTGTGGGAAATGTTCTTGATGATCCTAGGGATTACAGACGCACCAAACCACTGAACTAAGTTAACACGATGATTAAAAAGTAGTTACTTCTACTTTTAAGTTAAAGCCTTAAATAGGTACAGTAGTACATAGCTTAAACCACTCCAAGCAAAGGAAAAAATTAGATATGAGGAAAAATTGATGATTCAAATTTTTTGACTACCTTGACAATCATCTTTTTCTTTTATCCTCACTCTCATATAAAGTATGAATGGATCTGCTGTGAGAGAAAATTTAATTCAACTTTGTGGGTCACAGAATCTCCTAACATTTTACTGAGGACATCATTCATTTTGCCTTGGAAATGAACAATGAATCATAACTTGTGGTGGAATTTGGGTATGCAGCAGTTGAAGCATATGCTCATTTGGATGAAACGTTATCTTGCAAAAGAAAAACACGCACCTATGTGACAACGCAAATACATATACGTTATCATCTTATAAATGAGATCATGTGTAAACTGACGTTATAGATCTTTGATAAAATTTCTACCCATAACGTTGTAAATGATGGTTAAGTTCCCAGCTAGGATCCTTATGAATACCCTACTGAATCTATGATATAACCGAAATCCAATACCACTGTAATAGTAATATTTAAACAAAATGACGGAGGTTTACCACTGGGTAAGGGTGGCCAATTGAACACAGGCAACTACCTTTAATTCCCTCCAGAAATTTCATTAGAACAACCAAAGGAAGTATGTATGTGTGTGTTTGTGTTTTAAGAAAGGTATACACTCCAAAGAAGAGAAACAGGTACAGAAATAGTGTAATAGTACAACTTGGAAACAAAAAGACAAGTAGTTTCTTAGCAAACTCAAGAAAACCGAATCCTAAAAAGCAGGAGTGAAGAAAGCCCAAAACATGACTTACCATTTGCCTCTAAAAGTACAGATAAAGGGAGGCTAAAACATGGAACTGAGCAGACAGCGCAGAGCCCTGTCCTAATGTACAGAGCAGGACAACTACCCTCCCTTCCCCACACGTAACACTGAAGACTTTCTGTGAAGAGGGGGAAAACGTCCCCAGGGACATAAGGTTACCTGAAGGCCAGGGTAGAACACTGGAAGGAGGGGGCATTAAGTGAGTATGTGAAAACCCCAGATCTCTTCCCTCACTTATCTGTTAAATCACAGGCAGTCAAGTCAGAGCACCAGCACCAGTCAAGTCCACATCAGTAAGTCCCACTCAAAAATTCAGAGCTTCCCACTGGCTTTTGGTCTCCCACCCTCAGACAACAAAGAAATCTTAGGTATCTGAAGTAATCCTCAAATATGAAAGATATAAAGGAAACAAACTTGAAAAACAAAAAGACAAGTTGGCAGAAAGACACTATGTAGAGGAAAATTCAAAAGAACTATTATCCTTAGATAAAACGATGCAACCCTGAAACAAAACCAGGACATTTTACTTAAAAAAAGGGGAGGGGGGAATTGTTCTGAGAAAAGAAGTCTTAAAAACATTACAGTGGAAAAGAAAAAATCAGTAGGTTTGGAAGATGCGAGTCTTAGTCCATTCAGGCTATTGCAACAAAAAATACCATAAACTGGACAGCTATAAACAACAAACATTGATTTCTCACAGTTCTAGAGGCTGGGAAGTCCAAGATTAAGGCACCAGCAAATATCTGGTGAGGGTCTACTTGCTAGATAGCCATCTTTCTATGGTAACCTCAAATATCAGAGGGGACTACACCCATTCATGTGGGCTCCACTCTCACGATCTAAGCACCTCCCAAAGAAAGGTTCAGTATCCAAAAAATAGTATCCTTTTGTAAGGAGAATACAAAATAATGAAAGAAAGAAAGAAAGAAAGAAAGAAAGAAAGAAA